GCACGCGTCCACCCAACCCAGTACAGCGCTTCGTGGCCCCATAGTGAGCTCCACCGAAGGCCCTAGTGGCCGCCTCGCCCCATTGCGGCGCACCTCTCACACGTTTCGCGGCCCCATAGCCGGTTCCACCTAAAGCCTCACTGGCAGCGCCCACATGGCGGCCCCGCCCCAGATCGGCACACCCTCCCCCGAAGGCGATACCAGCAACGACGGTACTCACAATTGCATATGGTTGGGTCCTTCGCCCGGATAATTCCATACCTATGCGACCACCCTTCGGGTGATAAGGAGGTTCGGGGAGGGGGGAGGAACCAACGTCTCGCTCGATCGGTCTTACTATCGATCTCACTATCGATCTCACTATCGGTCTCGCTCGATCGATCTCACTCGATCGATCTCACAATCGATCTCATTCGGTCTATTTCATTCGATCGATCTGACCATCGATCTGACGATCGATCTCACAATCGATATCACTATCGATCTCACGATCGATCTCACAATCGATCTCACATTCGGTCTCACTAACGATCTCACTATCGATGTCACAATCGATCTCACAATCAACGGCATCATCATCATCATCATCATCATCATCATCATCATCATCATCAACAACATCAGCATCATCATCATCATCATCAACATCAACATCAACATCAACATCATCGTCATCAACGTCATCAACGTCATCATCATCATCATCATCATCATCATCATCATCATCATCATCATCATCATCATCATCATCATCATCATCTTCATCATCGGAACATCATCGTCATCCTCACCTCATCACCATCAACATCATCATCATCAACATCACCATCATCATCATCATCGGGACACCATCATCGTCGCCATCATCAGCATCAACATCATCATCATCATCATCATCATCATCGGGGCACCATCATCATCATCATCATCATCATCATCATCATCATCATCATCATCATCATCATCGGAACACCACCATCATCATCATCTCATCATCATCATGAACAACATCATCACCATCACCATCATCGGGACACCATCATCATCATCATCATCATCATCATGATCATCATCAGCATCATAATCATCATCATCGTCATCATCATCAGCATCATCAACATCGGGACACCATCAGCATCATCATCACCATCATCATCAACAGCATCATCATCAACCTCATCATCGTCATCATCAGCATCATCATCTCATCATCATCAACATCATCAGGATAATCAACATCATCATCGGGGCACCATCCTCATCATCATCATCAGCAACATCATCATCAACACCATCATCGTCAGGACACCATCGTCATCACCACCATCACCATCATCATCATCATCATCATCAACATCATCAACATCATCATCATCATTATCATCATCAGGACACCATCATCATCACCACCATCACCATCACCATCATTATCATCAACATCATCGACATCATCATCATCATCATCATCATCATCATCATCACCATCATCATCATCATCATCATCATCATCAGCAGCAGCAGCAGCATCATCATCATCATCAGGACACCGACGGGACACGGGCGGGACACCAGCGGGACACCGCGGGCCACCGGCCCGTGGAAAGGAATCATTTGGTCCGGCCGCGCCTCAGCCTGAGGCGGGACACCGGCGGGACACCGCGGGCCACCTGTCCCCAGAAAGGAATCATTTGGTCCGGCCGCGCCTCAGCCGGAGGAGAAATTCTTCTCGCCCGCCCACGCAGCTTCGCCTCGCCCGCACGTACGGCACGCACGAACACGATTCCGAAACCGATTTCTCGGTAGGGGGCTCTCCGTTCCACTTCGATCTCACCCCCTCACCTCCGATACTTTTGGGAGCCTCGATATTGAAATCCTTGCGACACCACCCCGGGTGTGCGAAAGATTTTGGCATTCGCGCGCGACACCGCGCGCGTGAATTCCGTCCTAGTCGTTACAAAGGAACCTTGCCATGGATGATTTCTGGTTCACGCGTGTGCGCTCGTAGTATTATTTGCATGGGATGCGGGGGATTGCTGGTTTGGCTGTGATGGCATGAATTCATATGGGCAGTGAACGATGGGGCGAGATTATTCATACATTGTACATCCCAGGGGGGGGGGGGGGGGGCGATAAGTTTAGGGGGAGGGAGATCCTTGTCCTTCTGCGAAATAAGAAGCTACATGGTGCAAGCTATGTGGTGCAATCAACTTTGACCGTCTTGAAGCTGTCCTCTCGACTGCTCGTGCAAACATCCCACCCACCCACCCGCAACTTGGTTTGCAAAACCTGTTAAGACCGACTACGACGACACCGACGACAACGACCAGGACGACGCCGACGACGTCTCCGACGACTTCGACGACGACAACGACGCCGACGCCGACGACGACGAAGACGACGACGACGCCAACGAAGGCGACGACGAGGGAGGAGGAAGGACGACGACGGCGACAACGACGACAACGACGACAACGACGAGGGAGGAGGGAGGACGGCGACGACGCGAACGACGACGACGGAGGAAGGACGGCGACGCCGACGACGACAACGACGAGGGAGGAGGGAAGACGACGACGACAACGACGACGACGACGGCGACGAAATAGGAGGGACGACGACGAGACGCCGACGACGGACGACGACGACGACGACGTGGGAGGAGGAGGAAGGACGACCACGGAATCGGACGGGCGGTGACGTGGTGGCGACGGGGCGGCGACCAACGGGCCAGAGGCGTGCTAAGGTCGCAGATGACAGGTGCAGAAGAGATCTAGTTCGCGCGCGCGTGCAGCCCCTGAGGGTCGCCGGGCGAAAGGTACCCTGGCCGATCTCTGGCGAGGTACGGTCAGAGGTGGTTCTGCTCCTGGGTGCCGCCCTCGGGGCCCCCCGAGAGCCCCAAGAAGGGCCAAGAGGTCCCCGAAAGGCCCCCAGGCATGTGTAAGAGTGTTCCGAAACGCCACAAGACCGCTCCAAGACGCACAGGATGGCCCCCAGACAACCCAAGAGGCCTCCAAGACGCTCCAAAAAGCTTCCCATAGCACTCCCAAGAGCACCCCAAGGGGCAAACATCATAAATGTTCCTTCGGCTTTTGACAGATTTTGGCGTTCTTGACATTTCGGCTTCCCGACGCTCCAAGACGGTCCAACAAGCCCTTAAGATCGCCCCAAGACGGCTCGAGAGGCCGCCAAGAGGGCCTGAAGACGGCCCAAGGGGGCCTTAAGACTGCCCAAGAGGCCCCCAAGACGGCTCAAGAGGGCCCAAGGACGGCCCCAAGAGGGGGCCCAGAAGGCGAACGGATATTTCGAGCCCTCGGCCCCACGAGGCGCCCAGGAGGCCCAAGAGGTCCCCCAAGAGACCCAAGGGAGCCCCGAGAGGCCCCCAAGATGCTCCCAGGACGCTCCCAAGAGGACCCCAAACTGCTCCCCAGGGAGCCCTCAGAGCCCCACAGCCCTCCGAGGAGACCCCGAGAAGCTTCCACGAGGACTCTGACCCACAACCCACGCACAGTGGCGGGATCGGCCGAAGGCCAGTGGATGAGCCTCCCCACGAAAGTCCCTCGTCCATGTCTTCGTCGAGCATCACGCTCCGAACACATCAGCTTGGATACCTGCACACGAAGATACACTGGGTTCAGCACGATGATCCAGAGAGCGGGAGGTCGACCGGAAAGATAGGAGCTGGAATCGGAGAATGGACCGAGGACGATGAGGAAGAGGAGGAAGAGGAGGAAGGAGAGGGGGAGCAGGAGTGGGAGGAGTAGCAGCAGGAGAACAAACCTGCCGCCTCCAGCCTCTGGAAATCCACCACCGCCCCCACAGTGCCGCAGGGCAACGAGCACGCGGGCACATGCGACGATGCAGGATTCTGGCCTGGCGGAATGAGCGAAACGCTTCACTGAGAATCTACGTGGTGCAGTGTATGTATGTGATGCAGTATTATGACGGGCGGCGACGAGGCGGCGACCGGGCGGCGACGGCGACAGCATAGCCGCCAGACCGACAACCAGGCCCAGACGGCGAGGCGACGAGGCAGCGACAAGGCGGCGACGTCGACAGCATAGCCGCCAGGCCGACAACCGGGCCCGGACGGCGAGGCGACGAGGCAGCGACGACACGGCGACGGCGACAATATAGCCGACAACACAGCCGCCAGACCAACAGCACACACACACCGGTTCCGTATTCCAGAAATGAGAACCCCAAAGTACAAGCACTTCCGGGGGGAGCATACACACACATGCACTTTGTGTATTCATATACGCCCCCCCCCCCACCGGGCCCGAACGCAACCAGGTTCACCGCCTGCCGAGGCCCACGAAGGTCGATCCCCCAGTCCGCGTTATGTAAAGATCTCCGCCTCGGCCAGAAGAAAAACCGCTGCATCAACTGTTTGCGTCGGCGGCTAGGCAGAGTAACTGCGCTGGCGGAGAGCTAACTAAACGGGGTACCGCTGTAGCGAGTTGTGTCACAATGCAAGGAGAAGGGGGCAGGACAGAAGAAACGGCCGAAAGAGGGGGGGGGAGAGGGGCGAGGCAGCTCGCACACTGCATAAACATGAACGTTCGAGGGTCCACGCGGATTTCCTGGATCGGCGCTGGAGGTGCCGCGGGAGGGCTCCAGCGCAGATCAAAGAATTCGGCGCGAAGCTCTCAAAGTTTTTGTTTATGCAATGCTCCCTTCTCCAGTCAGAGGGACACCGCGTGGATCGTTCCACCTTGAACGATCGGTGGAAGCTCGATCACCAAACCGTTTGATGTTGGCCGACTCTGGGCCACTGGCGCCCCTCAACCTTGAGGCCCGCGGCGGGGTCGCCGCCGCGTCGATACGACGCGCAGGTCAAGAGTTTCAAGGAAGGGCGGAGGACAGATACCCCACCGCCAGTGAAAAGGGTTCGCAGGTGGTCGCGCCTCTTTCTGCATTACTTGTCGCCAGGCTCTGAATTGCTTGCGCACGCGTGTTTTGCACACGCGTGTTCCCATTACCCTTGGGCACCATTCTTCTCAAGCGAGCTTGTTGTCGCGGAAGCGTTGCTGATAATAAACGCAACCTCTGAGGAAGCTGCCGTGTATGGGATCGAAAAAATGCTTGTAGTTGATAATCCAAACCAGAGCACAAATCCGCCGACACTCGCTTGCCAGGGATACGAAGGTGTGTATCGTGTGAGACGATTGGACTGTCCCACTTCCCCTCTCCCCCCCAACAAAAAACAAACATCCCATTCAAAGGCGGGTGGCGGGGGGGGAGAGGGGGGGCGAGCTCCCCAGTGCAATTCTGGACACCTTCGGGCGCTCAAAATGGCGGAAGATAAATTCAAAGTGGTCCAAGATAGCAGAAGATGCCCTCTAAGACTGCCCCAGATGGGCCCCAAAGTGCTCCCTGATAGCCCCATTTGGCGCCAAGATGGCTGCAAGATGGCACCAGAGCCTCGCAAGGCAGCCCCCGAAAAACAGAAAGTTGCAGATCGTGCCTTTGAATGGTAGTTGGCTTCCCATGTGTTCACTTCGAAATGGCCCCGGGATAGATTCCCCTATTCCGCCAGGAGGTAGCGAGAGTCCCCAAGAGGTTCCAAGATAGCCAAAGGAACCCTCAAATGGTTTACAAATGGCCCCCAGCAGACCCCAGGCAGTCGGGGCCGCTCCCAAATGACGCCCAGAGAACCTTAAGAGACGCCAAGGCGGCTCCGAGAGACCCCAAGGAGAGCCCTAGACAGGCCTAAGAGGGACCCAACAAAAACGACGGTCCTCGCCTCCTCCCCCTCATCCTCCTCCTCCTCCTCCTCCTGCTCCTCCTCCTCCTCATCATCATCATCACCACCATCATCATCAGCAGCAGCAGCATCATCAACATCATCATTATCGTCATCATCATCACCTCCAGCATCACCATCGTCACAATCAACAACCACCTTAACAACAACCGCAACTGCACCAGCAGCAGCAGCAACAACAGTTACGACAACCACCGCAACAGCAACAAACACAATAACAACGACAACAAAAACAATAATACAAATAACAACGCCTCCTACGACGACTGCTGCTACTACTACTACTACCACAACAACAACAACCACAACAACAACAACAACAACAACAACAATCGCAACCACATTCCAACCACCACAAACAACAACAACAACAACAACAACAACAACAACAACAGCAACAACAACAACAACAACAACAAAAACAAAAACAAAAACAAAAACAACAACTGCAACAACAGCCACGACACCAACAACCACAACAGCAGCAACAACAACAGTAGCAGTAGCAACAACCAGAACAGCATCACAGCAACAAAATAAACCAAACAAAACACAACAACAACAGCAACCAAGACTGTTCGCTCTTACCTGCTCGCGGGCCAGTACACAAGTATATCCCAAACCCTCGATACCCGCCCTCTTCGTCTCTGATCGTACCCCCTCGGAGGTATGTATCTGTCTTACCTGCAACGTGTACTCCGTGCAGCCCGCAAGGCAGGGGAAGAGAGGACGGATGGAAGGAAGGGACAACGGGAAGGGAGGAGGATGGAGCAAGAGAGAGAGTACCAGGATGGGGGCTAGGAGCAGAAAACACGTGGCAAAACTACACGGGCAGATCGTGCGGGTAGACCCTCACGGGCGTGTCGGGAAGGCGGGCCCAAACGGTCAGGTCGATCAGGTGGGTTGCTGAGGCTAGATTAATGCATGAATCGCGGGGAAGTCCACAGCGAGAGCGTGATTCTCCAATAAATCGTGACGAAATCCACGGCGACAGCATGATACCTGAGTGTCGAGGGCGCGGCGTCTGAATAAATTGCAAGGACGTCCCACGCGACAACGCGATTCCTGCATACATTGCGAGGACGTCCCGCGCGAGAGCGCGACTTAGGAATAACTGTTGTGGAAGTATTCGGCGGGAGCCGCTGTTGTTGTAAACCGGGGGGCAAGGGGCCCAGTTTGGTGGCACCTCGCTTTCCCTTGTAAAAAACGCGTGTGAGCCCCAGGAGGAGCACTTCAATTGAGAAAACATTGGTTACTGGGCAGGGGTGGCCAACCATAATTATGATTTAGAAATTGGAATTCATCATCATCAGCAACAACAGCAACAGCAACAACTACAACAACAACGACTATCATTTTAAGACTGGTCGCTCGTATCTGCTCGCGACCATTCAACACGTATATCACATGCCCTCGATACCCGCCCTCTTAGTCTTCGATCGTACCCCCTCGAGTATATATCTGCCTTACCTGCAACGTGTACTTCGTGCAGCCACTGAGGCAGGGGAGCAGAGGACGGACGGATGGAAGGAAGGGGCAAGGGGAAGGGAGGAGGATGGAGCAAGAGAGAGAGTACCAGGATGGGGGCTAGGAGCAGAAAACACACGGCAAAACTACACGGGCAGATCGGGTGGATAGGCCCTAACGGGCGGTTCGGGAAGGCGGGCCCAGGCGGCCAGGTCGAGCAAGCTGGTTGCTGAAGCGTGCGTCATGCATGAACCGCGAGGAAGTTTCGAGCGATAGCGCGATCTGCAACGGGGCCACGAAGGGCAGCGAGGGGGCCACGAAGAAACGGGGCCACGAAGGGCAGCGAGGGGGCCACGAAAGGCTGCAACGGGAACACGAAGGGCAGCGAGGGGGCCACGAAGCGCTGCAACGGGGCCACGAAGGGCAGCGAGGGGGCCACGAAAGGCTGCAACGGGAACACGAAGGGCAGCGAGGGGCCACGAAGCGCTGCAACGGGGCTACGAAGGGCAACGAGGGGGCCACGAAAGGCTGCAACGGGGCCACGAAGGGCAGCGAGGGGCCACGAAGCGCTGCAACGGGGCCACGAAGGGCAGCGAGGGGGCCACGAAGGGCTGCAACGGGGCCACGAAGGGCAGCGAGAGGGCCACGAAGGGCTGCAACGGGGCCACGAAGGGCAGCGAGGGGGCCACGAAGGGCTGCAACGAGGCCCCGAAGGACAGCGAGATCCCGATTCCTCAGTTAGCTGTGAGGGAGTCCTAGGCGTAAGCGCGACTCCTGGATGCCCGAATGCCCGGAGCGCGGCGCTTGAACAAAGCGCAGGGAATTCCAACGCAAGAGCGCCCTTTCTTGAATCCGCCGGCCCCCTTGTGGGGCCACCAGGCTGTACGCCGAAGCTTCGCAGTTTCCTGTACCAGTTGCAGCTCCCAGTTTCCACTGTTACAGTTCTGCTTCTTGCTGATTACTGTTCCTTGTTGATGGACCGCGCAAGGGGGGGAGGCCCAAACGGGCAGGTTTAGCACGCCCTGAGCGTGTGCTCTGAATTGCTGGGGTGGGTAAAAATTTACACCCCTCACGCAGATCGGCGGGGTCAGGGTGCGAAAACACATGGGATTTGCTACATTTTTGAAATTCGCTGGCACCCCTCACGCAGATCGGCGGGGTCAGGGTCCAAAAACACTTGGGATGTGCCACATTTCTGAAATTCAGTGGCACCCCTCCCGCAGATCGGCGGGGTCAGGGTCCAAAAACACATGGGATTCTCCACATTTCTAAAATTCGGTGGCACCCCTCATGCAGATCGGCGGGGTCAGGGTCCAAAAACACTTGGGATGTGGCACCCCTCACGCAGATCGGCGGGGTCAGGGTCCAAAAACACATGGGATTTGCAACATTTCTAAAATTCAGTGGCACCCCTCACGCAGATCGGCAGGGTCAGGGACCAAAAACACTTGGGATTTGCCACGGGGTCATGATCCGAAATCCAAGGGAATTTGCCACATTTTTGAAATTCGGCGGCACCCCTCACGCAGATCCGTAGGGTCAGGGTCCAAAAACACAAGGGATTTGCCACATTTCTGAAATTCGGCGGCACCCCTCACGCAGATCCGTAGGGTCAGGGTCGGAAAACAAACAGGTCCCGACACTGCTTCACGGCGGCGCCCAGACCTCATGATTTAGCTTTTGCATCTCCCATCATCCGAGACAGGGGGCCGGCGGCATGGGGCGAAGCCCTTACGGATAGAAGTCACAAACGAGTGTTCAGCGAGAGCGCGACTTCAGAGCGCCGAGAGAGCGATTCGCTGTAAAAAATTGTAAGTAAGTCGCAAGCGAGAGCGCGATTCCTGGGTAAAATGCAAGGAAGTCTCGGGCGGGAGCGGTTGTCCTGGCTAGAGCGTGAGGAAATCTCAAGCGGGAGCCGTTGTTGTTCTAACCCGTGGGCCAGGGGCGCAGTTTGACCTTTGTGACTTTCTCTGATAAAGAATAGGGTGCGAGCCCCAGGGGAAGCACTTCAATTCAAAAAGCACAATGGTCACCGGGAGGGGGGGATCAACAATCAATTTTCCTCAGTACTGAGAACTCCTCAACGACAATAACAACAACAACGACAACACAAGCAGCAGCAGCAGCAGCAGCAACAACAACATCAATCGCTTTCATACTGTTCGCTCCTATCCGCTCGCGTGCCATTCAACACGTATATCCCCAGCCCTCGGTACCCGCCGTCGACGTCTTCGATCGTACCCCCTTGGGGGAATATCTTGCCTACCTGCCACGCGCATGTGGCGCAGCCCCTAAAACAGGTGAAGAGAGGACGGATGGGAGGGGGAGGGAGAAGGATGGAGCACGAGAGAAACTTGCAGCAGGGGGGGCTAGAAACAGAAAACACGTTGCGGACCCAGGCGGGCAGATCGGGCGGGCAGACCCTAGGCGGGCCCAGGCGGCCAGGTCGAGCAGGCGGGTTGCTGAAGCGTAAGTCCTACATGAATCGTGGGGAAGTCTCGAGCCATAGCGCGATTCCCTTGCAAATACGGGGGAAAGCCAGGAAGCAAGAGCGTGATTCCTGAGTGTCGAGGGCGCGGCGTCTGAATACATTGCGAGGAAGTCCCACACGAGAGCGCGATTCCTGAATGAATTGTAAGAAGTCCGGCGCGCGAGTACACTTTTGGAAAAAAATGTGTGAGGAAGTATCCGGCGGGAGCCATTGTTGTTGTAGCCCAGGGGGCAACAACACAGCTTGAGTACGAAGAGTTTCCCTGAGAAAAAAAGTGCGAACCCCGAGGGGGGCACTTCAATTGAAAAAACACCATGTGCACTGGTGAAGGGGGACCAACGATACTTAGCCTTCAAGAGTGAGAGTTTCAGAACACCAGTCATTTTAAAACTTTTCGCTCTTACCTGCTCACGTGCCATTCAACACGTATAACCAAACCCTCGGCACCCGCCCTCTTCGCCTTCGATCGTACCCCCTCTTGGGGGTATATCTTCCCTGCCTGCCGCGTGTAGCGAGCGCAGCCCCTAAAACAGGGAGAGGAGGGGAGAAGTGAAAAGGCAAGGGGGAGGAAGAAGGATGAAGCACGAGAGAAATTTGCAGGAGGAGGGTTAGGAGCAGGAGCACAAGCGGCAGAACCAGTCTGGCGTGTCAGGCGGTCGGACCCTGACGGGGAGGTCGTGTTGGCGGGCCCAGACGGCCAGGTCAAGTGGGCGGGTCGCTGAAGCCTCAGACCATCAAGGAGGAAGATTTGAGCGATAGCGCGATTCCCAGGTAAATCGTGAGGAAATCTAAAGCGAGAGCGTGATTCCTGAGTCTAGGGGGCACGGCGCTCCTAAAAATTGGGAGGGCGTACCACGCGAGAGCGCGCTCCTTAGAAAAATTATAGAAGGTCCTGCGCGAGAGCGCGAATTTGAAATGAACTGCGAAGAAATATCCGGCGGAAGCAACTGCTCTTGTTGCAAAGCGGGGGCCAGGGGCGCAGCTTGGTGACCACAGAGCCTCCCAGATAAAAAACCAGGGTGGGAGTCCTGGGAAGAGCACTTCAATGAAAAAATACAATGGTCACCACGGAGGCCAGCAGCAATTACTCTTTTGAAATGAGAATTCAGCAGCCACAACAACAACAGTAACAACAACAGCATACCACCACATCTGGAATCATCACAATCATCAGGATCCTCATCATCAGCATCCACATCATCAGCAGTATCGGCAGCATCAGCATCAGCATCCGCATCAGCATCAGCATCATAATCATCATCAGCAGCAGCAGCAGCATCATCAGCAGCAGCATCATCATCCTCATTAACAGCATCATCAGCATCATCATCACCATCATCATCATCATCATCATCATCCTCACCGTCAGCATCAGCATCAGCATCATCATCGTCATCGTCATCGGCATCAATAGCATCAGCACGTCAGAATCATCATCAGCGTCATCATCATCGCCGTCATCGTAATAATCGTCATCATCACCATCACAACAAAAATCATCATCAGCACCATCCTCATAGCAACAGCACCACGACTACCATCGTCATCACCACCACCACAACCATCAGCATCGGCATCGACATCATCAGCAGCATCAGCATCACCACCACTGTCATCGTCGTCATCACCATCATCAACATCAACATCAACATCACCATCACCGTCATCATCACCAACACCATCACCATCGCTTTCGGTCGTCATAATCATAGGCATCAGCATCGGCGTCAGCATCAGCGTTATGAATACCATCATCATCAACCGACTCATCATCCACGTCAGCATCAGCATTCGCATCATCATCGTCATCAACAGCATCAGCACATCAGTATCATTATCAGCATAAGCATCAGAATCATCATCATCAGCAGCATCATAATCGTCATCATCAGCACAGCAGAACCATCATCAGCATCTTCATCAGAATCGTCATCGTCGTCATCATCATCGTCATCATCGTCGTCATCATCGCCATCAAAACAAAAATCGTCACCATCATCACCATCACCAGATCATCAGCACCACCACTACCATCGTCATCACCACCACCACAATCATCAGCATCAGCATCGTCAAACCATCATCATCAGCATCAGCATCAGCATCATCTTGCTGTCATCGTCGTCATCACCGTCATCAACATCACCATCACCATCACTATCATCATCATCAGCATCGGCATCACCATCATGCTCCGTCGCCGTAATCATAGTCATTAGCATCATGATCATCATCAGCATCATCATGATTATCAACATCATCATCGTCAGCATCCACATCAGCATCAGCATCATCATCGTCATCAGCATCACAACTATCACATCATCATAGACATCATCATCACCAGTAACACTTTATCACCATCATCACCAATACCATGATCCCTACCACTACCACGAGCATCATCATCGGAGGCAGCAGCATTATCATCGTCATCGTCATCATCATGATCACCATCATCAGCATCACCATCACCATCATCAACATAACCACCACCACCATCATCACCACCACCAGAACCACCAGCATCATCATCATGTTCATTAGCATCATCATCATCATCACCATCACCATCGTCATCATCAGCAAAATCATCATCCCCAGTAGCATTTCATCAAAACAACCACCACCATCACTATCATAACCACAACAATCACCATCGTCAGCAGCAGCATCGGCATCATCATCATCATCATCATCATCATCATCATCATCATCTTGAACTTCATCATCACCATTGTAATCATCATCAGTCTCATCACCGAAACCACCACTACCACCGGCACCATCATCATCATCATCATCAGCAGCAGCAGCACCATCATCATCATCATCATCATCCTCACCACCACCACCATCATCATCACCATCGTCACCGCCAGCGTCGTCGTAATCAGCATCATCAGCAACAAAATCGGTAATTTCACCATCACCATCACCACACCCGTCATTATCATCATCAGCAGCAGCATCATCATCGTCATCGTCATCATCATGATCATCCTCATCATCAGCATCATCGGCATCATACTCATCATCAGCATTATCATCACCATCACTATCACCATCACCATCAGCATCACCATCGCGATCATCAGCAACATCATCCGCCTGGTCGTCGTCCTCATCCTCGTCCTCCTCCTCCTCCCCTGGTTTGTTGCGGGGCTGGCGGAATGGAGTAAGGCCTCAGGATAACAAAAATAACCTTGGCCAACAGCTCGCCGAACTCATCCAGCTTCTTCTGCAGAGGCGTTTGCTCCACATCGGTCGCTGCATCCTTGACTGCCAACTGGATGTTGCCAATCTCTGTCGACATGCCAGTGCTCACGACAACCTATCGAGGGGTCAGACGTACGCTGGATGGCGACACCCAGGTATCAGCCACCCGTCGGCACTGGGCACTGGGTGGAGTGACCCCAGGCCCCCGATATTTTCAAGATGCTTTCCGATTCCAGCTGTAGATTTGCAGGCCCACGCGAAGTCGCATAATTTAAGTAGTGCCTGGTCGATGGTAACTATCGCCGCCGCACGGCTAAAACGCAACAAGTCCAGAACAAAACGAAAAAAAGGGTTTCTACGTTCGATGTGTTTGCCTCCCCTGGGAATTCGGACGCACCGGGGAGCTGGATTCCTTAGGCATTCGATCGAGCCGGCACTTTCTTGCTCGAGCACGCCGCGTTTGTTCCCAGACGAACCTCAATGGCGCCTACGTCGTCGAAGCTGGAATGGATAATTCCGTACGCGGCAAAGAAAGTAGCGATAGTGCGCGTCTCTGTCAGCGCAGAACAATAGCGGATCCTACCGAGTCCCTCCTGGAACGCAGCGCAGCTGTCACGGACTCTGATGTCTGCGAGCACGCCCGACGCAACAAAGAAGATTCTCAGGCCTGGGAGCTCACTGCAATAGAACAACGAAATGACGGAAAGTGTCGGTGGCGATGATGAGAGGGTCGACGATGGTCCCTCGTCGGCGCTCCCAAAGCTTCGCGGCGACGCAATGCGCGGCTCGGGACTTCTCGGGGGACTCTGCGCTGTCGCGCGGGGTTTTGAGAAAGCCATTACCTTTTTTTTCACGTCGGGATTTCGCAGCACCCCGCGATTCATCATCTGCCACCCTGCCCTGAGGCACAAGCTGGAGAGCCTTCCGGTCCATCGAAGTTCGCCGTCCTCGGTCCCGAGCGAATGAGTATCAAAAGGCCCGGCCCCAAAACTGCCCGAATCCCCGAGGCTTTCCGCGTGCCTCCGGGGGGGTCCCGCCTGTTCCCGCACTATGTAAGACCTGCCTTCAAAAAACAGCGGTTTTTGAAGGGATATCTGCCTTCAACAAAACAACACAGTTTCTTTCCGGAGGCCAGAAGGCCCCCGAGACGGGCCAAGAGCCCGAGAGGGTCCCACAGGCCCCGAGTCGGCCCAGGAGCACTCCAGGAAGCCCAAGAGGGCCTCGTTGCGGCCCCAAGAGGAACAACAGATGCCCCAAGAGCGCCCCGAGAGCCCACCCAAGACGACCCCAAGAGGCCAAAACGATAAATTTCCAGAACCAAGGAAAAGGCTAGCGTTCCCTCCTTTGCGGGCCCCCGACGCTCCAAGACAGCCCAAGAGGGCCGCAAGATCGCCCCAAGACGGCCCAAGAGGGGAACACGAACCGACATTTCGAGCCCCCGCCCCAAGATGACCCCCAAGACCGCCAGCAGGCCCCCGAGAGGCCCCCAAGAAGCCCTCAAGAGACCCTCAAGAGGCCCAAACCAGGCCACAAGAGGCCCCAAAGAGGCTTCAGAGAGGTATCCAGACACTCCAGAACTGCCTCGAAGAGGCTTCTGAGAGGCCTCCCAAGAGAACAACACGGGCATCCGAGAGGCCTCTGACCTCAACGACGGCACGGTGGCGGCTACCGCCCCCTGTTTGCGACAGCCCGCTGGCCACCCAGAGAGCCACAGAAAATGCACAGTCCATCTGTTCTCCCGCGACGGCCGGCCCCAAGATGGCCTTCCAATTGGCCAAGATGGCTTTCAAGGCGGCTCAGATGGCCTCAAGAAAGCCCAAGACGGCCCAAAGATGTCTCCACGACGGTCCAAGATGCACCCAAGACAGCCCAAGATGCCCTCCAGACAGCCCAAGCGGCCCCCAAGGCGTCCCAAGAGGGCTCCAAGGTACCTCCAGGAGGCAAAAATCTATGATGTCCTCCAGATGTTGCAATGATTTTAGCATTCTCGCCGTTTCGCAATTCTGAAGCTCCCCGACGGCCCCACAGGACCTCAAGATCGCCCCAAGACTGCCCAAGACGCTCCCAAGAAGCCCGCACGACTGCCCAAGAGGGCCCAAGACGGCCCAAGAGGTCCCCAAAACGGCCCAAAGACGGCCCCATAGATCTCCAAGACGGCCCTAAAGCGACCGAAGAAAGACCTAGGACTACCCAGACCAGAGAGGTCCCCAAGACGGCCTTCGAAGGCTCAGTCCCTTCGAAGACCCCACAGGCCCCGACGAGGCCCCCAAGAGGCCCCAAGAGGCTCCCAAGAGGCTCCTCAGACGCCCGCAAAAGGTTACCAGGAAGCCCCCCCCGGAGGCCCCAAGAAGGCCTAAAGAGGCCCCCTCCTCCTCCTCCTCCTCCTCCTCCTCCTCCTCCCCCTCCTCCTCGCCTTCCTCCTCCCTCCTCCTCCTCCTCCTCCTCCTCCTCCTCCTTCCTCCTCCTCTCTCCTCCTCCTCCTCCTCCTCCTCCTCCTCCTCCTCCTCCCCTCCCTCCTCCCTCCTCCTCCCTCCTCCTCCTCCTCCTCCTCCTCCTCCTCCTCCTCCCTCCTCCTCCTCCTCCTCCTCCTCCTACTCCTCCTCCTCCTCCTCCTCCTCATCCTCCTCCTCATCCTCGTCCTCCTCCCCATCCTCTGCCTCCTCCTTCTCTTCTTCTTCCTCCTCCTCCTCATCGTCAACATCATCTTCATCCTCATCATCAGCAGCATCATCATCAGCAGCAGCAGCATCAGCATCATCATCAGCATCAGCATCAACATCACCATCAGCATCAACATCAGCATCCTCAGCAGCAGCAGCCTCATGATCATCAGCATCATCATAGTCAGCATCATCATCATCAGCAGCATCAGCATCAGCATCATCATCATCATCATCATCATCATCAGCATCATCATCATCATCAGCAGCAGCATCCTGAGCATCATCATCATCATCATCATCATCATCATCATCAGCGTCCTCATCATCGTCATCGTCAGCATCATCAGTATCATCATAGTCATCATCACCATCGTCGTCGCCGTCGTCGTCATCATCATCGTCATCAGCAGCAACAGCATCAGCATCAACATCACCATCAGCATCATCAGCATCATCATTATCATCAGCATAATCAGCATCATCAGCATAATCAGCATCATCATTATCAGCATCATCATCGTAATCAGCATCAGCATCATCATCAACAACATCATCAGCATCATCATCAGCAGCATCACCATCATCATCAGCATCAGCATTATCACCATCATCATCAGCATCGTTAGCATCATCATCAGCATCATCATCAGCATCATCATCAGCATCATCATCATCGTCAACATCATCATCATCATCATCAGCACCATCATCAGCAGCAACATCATCATCGACAACATCATCATCATCATCATCATCATCATCATCATCATCATCATCATCATCATCATCAGCATCAGCATCAGCATCAGCATCATCATCATCATCGAGTTCCTCCTCCTCTCCCTTCCTCTCCAAAGCGCTCCCCCGAGGGTCTCCACAACGACTGGGGGGACATAGTCCAATAGCTTGGTCAGACGTGGGCCCAACGCTTGGCCGCATGCAAGTTTCCGCTGATTCGCCGTAAGCGTCTTCGGCAAAATTATGGGGCGCTCTCGGGTTCCCGTGATCCCAGGCCCGAGCGCACTGGTTCTTCTGCTCGGATTCTGCAGGAATGGATCCTCCTCATGCGCGCGGGAGCAGTGCCCTGCTCGCACCTCGCAATCCACGTAAAAATGTCAAGCGGGACAAGGAAACGACTGCAGGAAGGGCCCAAGATATCCCACTCACGGGATCATGGGGGCCGGATTGGAGGCCTTCGGGGTAGCCTCAAGATCTCCCTCCCAACAATTAGCCTGGCGAAGGACCAAACCATATGCAGTTGTGGGCACCGTCGTTGTATGCACCGCCGTCGGTGGAGCTCCATATGTGGCCACGAAACGTATGGGGTTGGTGTCAACATGTGTGCGGTGGGCGCATGCGAGCGCTGGCATCTGGGCCGTCGGTGGAGCTCTCTATGGGGCAACGAAGCGTGTAAGGGGTGTACCAAGATGGGTGCGGTGGGCGCATGCGAGCGCTGACATGTGGGCTGTCGGTGGAGCTCCTATGGGGCCACGAAGTTGAGTGGTGTGCCAAAATGGGCACGTTCGGCGCATGCGAGCGCTAGCATATGGGCCTTCGGTGGAGCTCCCTACGAGGCCATCCATGGAACTGGTGAGGGGTGTGCAGACATGGGCGCGGTGGGCGTATGCGAGCGCTGGCATTGAGGCCTTCAGTGGGGCTCCCTATGGCCCCACGGAACGTGTAAGAGTGTGCTAAAAAGGTGCGGTGGGCGCATGACAACGCTGGCATATGGGCATTCGGTGGAGCTCCATATGGGGCCACGACACGTGTGAGAGGTGTGCCAACATAGGGTACCTTCGGTGGAGCTCCCTAGGGGGGCACGAAACGTGTGAGGGGTGTGCCAAAATGGGCGCGTTGGGCGCATGCGAGCGCTGGCATCTGGGCCGTCGGTCG